ATATGACTGAAAAATTTCATTTTTTCTGAAAAGGTGGTGTCTATTTACTTGTGACCATGCTGTGTATGCTATGTATTATTCAGACATAACCAAACTACTACCATGTCACTACATAGTAAATACATAGTGTGTTTGCTGGATGACATCTCTATTTCCTTTTGGTGAGCAATATCTTGGCTTCACCTGTAAACAATTCTTGGAACTGCTTGCCCTCTTCACAAAGTTAAACCATTTCCTCTTTAATGATGTGATTTATGATGAGATAGATGAAATCTCTGCTGGTTCAATGATAGTCAGTAATTTTCTATGCTTCCATGAATGCAAGTGGCTAGAAAATTGCCCATGTGATTTTAAACCTGTCCTTTACAAATGCTGTATTGATGACACTTTTTTGCTATTTCGACAATTGAGTCACATTTCCAAATTCCTTTCGTACCATAATTCCCAACATCCCCAAATTAACTTCAGATTTGAACTTGATACTTACTTCTCTGGGCTTTGCACTTGGGACTTCCCGCTTTTTTCCTTTATTTGGTGACAGAGTACAAACTTTAGTTTCTGAAGCTATGTGGTAATCAGCTACGCAGCAGATGATACAAAATTTTTGGAAGTCAAGGCACTACAGCATTATATCTGAGAAAGAGTTATAACTGATGGTGTTATAATGAGGCCGTACTGTAATTAGTGCTATTAGTGCTAAAATGTGCTATTCGGAGTGCAAGGGTGTCATGTGACACAGACAATTGAAGATTACGAATTTAATTTAATATTTCCTTTTAATATTAAGAAATTAAAACTTAGATACTATAAAAATTTGAATTATGGTCTACAATTTTATGGTAAGCTTATTAGCATGCATTAAAAATAAAGTTAATAAATTAATTCTGAATGTAATTGCATTAAACATAGGATTAAGTGAAGTATGTTGCAATATCCCCTTGAGCAGAATAGATATCATCCACTATACAGAGATCAAAGACACAAGCAGCTAGAATAGGGCAAATACAGTGGTTTTTCAAAACAGACTCGCCTCTTCTTGCACAAAGGCTATCTCAATTGTTGACTACCCTCTAAATAAACAATGTACCAGGTTTGCATCATTTCTGAATATGTACATATCATGTGACTATTCTCTATCAATAGTATTACACCACCTGTGATGGTGCAACTAGCTCCCTCTACTATTCTCACTCAATCCCCACATTGTTGATTGTCATCACATAGTTTAGAAAGTTTTTTCCAAGTGTGGCTACAATTTTTGATTGTGCTTTGTTTCCATTTCTGACAAAGTTTATTCAACAATTTCTAATTTTCGTGTTTGATTTTATTCGTTTCACAAATTTGCATTTGAAATTTTCTCGTTCCTGAATTCTACGTGTTTTAGTATGAATTCAAGGTTTCCTGTGGTATACAATGATATTACTGTGACAGGTGACTATGCACATGGCACGACTTCCCTGGATCAGTTTTATCTGCTGTAGAATTACATGCCTTGGTTCACACGGAGTTCAAGTCTTACTTTAAGCCTGTGTTTTCTTCTTCTTTTCAGTGTGACACTGTTTTTGAGGAAGAAGACACTCATTGAGTTGCCGCTTTGGTCTCTTCTTTTTCTTGCACCTTTCATGTCTTTCAACTGGGGGAGACTTGTTCTTCTCCTCCTTTCTTCCTCTGGCTTCAAGTTCTCCCAGGAGAGTTGTGGTAAGTTTTTCAACATGTATACTTCACACTAGGTTGATATACCCATGTTAGGCCTGGTTCCAATGCCCTTTGCATGACTTTGCCCTTCTTTACATGTGGGAGATTTACATATTTCACGTCATCAATGCTCGGAATTTGGTAAGTTAGATATTTAGGTGTACTTTATCTATGTTACTTTTGTTTAATGGTAAGTTAGATATTGAATATTACTTTGTAATTTCAGTAAATTTAATCGTTATGCATATTCATTAATTTTATGTATTTTTAATTCGTTATTAATAAGTACTTCCCCATTTTTTGTCAGTGTGTGACTTAATTTAGTGTCCTTTGTTGTCTAGGTTATTTTCAGTGTATGGCAAATTAGTTTATTCTTATTCAGGTGTTTTCTAGGTAATTTTTATTAGTTTGTTTTTTCATTATTATTGCATATTTTGTGGACTAGGTACATTTAAATGATTTGTCTAGTTCGTATTTA